GGGTGTGGAGGAACAATGGGCGTTGGTGCTGCTGGTCAAGAGTTTGCATTTGATGCACAATTGAAGATATTTCTCCATAAAGACACGGAGCAGAGATTCCCAGAGTGAAATTCTTCTGTAGCTTCTCCAGAGACCTTTGTGTTTTCATCTACTTGAGTTATTTACCAACAGGAGTCAGCAGATGGCGCTCATACAACGTCTTTCTTTTTCGTTTGTAACTCTTCTGTATAATGAGGTCAGAAGGTTTAATGACGTTGGCAAAACGCCTAATTCTATTTATTTCATTTGATTCACCAACACGATATTATTTTCTGGAATTTGTAGGTGAGTAAAGAGCAAGACTGAATTTTTGTTTTCTAACTCCAAAACTCTGGCTTATTTAGCACGCTACAAAAAAAAAAAAAAAAAAATCCACTGCATCAAATCCATTCTGACTCATAGTCAACCCCGTTGGGTTTTCAAGACTGTAAATCTTTACAGTAGATTGCCTCATCTTCCACCCGTGGAGCAGCTGGTGGGTTTGAACCTTACCCTCTGTTAGAGAAATGCCACACCATCTTGTGTGGCTCTTCCGGGTTCTTCTTCATTCCCTGCTGCCCCACCCAAGGTCATAAGTTAGTTAAAGGAAGTGGAAACTGAGCTTCCTGCAAGGTGCAAATTTTAAAAGGCAGCATAGCTTCTAATATGTTAAGACCCCTTCTCCCAGCTCTGACATACAACCTCCTAGCCCCGGGTCTATATAAGACCACCCTCTCCCCTGCTAGCTCTCTTCTTCCTCCTCTTCCTCCTCTTCTCCCTCTTCTCTTCCTCTCCTCTTCTCCTTCTTCTTCTTATTTTTTTTCTTCTTCTTCTGTCCTTCCTCGGTACAGGCACCCTTTCGCCTCTTTAAATAAAATCTCCTGTCGGCTACCCTGGTGTGTGGCGTGGTTGTTGAGTGCCCACGGAGCTCTAAAACCCTCTGAGTCCTACAGGACTCCTAATTGCTGTTATAATACAAAAATACCAATCAATTAAAAGCCAGGATTAAAAGCCAGGAAGCCAGACAGAGGTACAGTCAGCCACAGAGACCCAGTTAGGGGTGATAAGAGAGGTCTCCAACAGCAAGACAAACTTGTCTGTTGTTTTGTCCTACTGTGGTGACATGTAGACGTGAGTTTTGAGGCTGAGCCTCTGGTGTTTGAAACCCAGCGAGATGCACCTGGTGCA